AAGACTAGATTTTTTTCCTCATATATTGCAATTTAAAAGCCAACATAAATTACTCTAATGATTCATATAAAGTGTTACAATAAAACATAATACAACATATAGCATACTATATGTTTACATGTAACTAGATAACGGACCCGCATATATGCGGATTTGTGATAAAATATTTTGTAACCCGTAAAAAATCAAATTCAAAAAAATAAAAAAGTTTATAAATCACCCATGAAAATAAAGAAAATAATACCGAAAATGTTGATATAAAATAATTAAGAGTTACTTTTTTATTTTTGTTGTTTTTCTTATTTGATTTTCAAGTAATTTATCACATAGTTAGTTTTTTCTATTCATGTATGAATTAATTTAATTTTTACTACTTCGCTTCTTTATTTATAAAAAATATTGAATTAATTACACATTTTCCAATTTGAATTTTTAAGTTTTATAAATATTTTATAATCTCTTAAACAAAAACAAAACTGGAAAGTGCAAGACCACTAATAGAGAAGTCCCACCGCTATTAAGTTATTTTGATTCTTTTTATTATATTATTCTTTCATTTAAATTTGTCAAATATTTCCAAATAATTAGCTTTTTCTATTCCTAATTAAATTAGGTTTTTTTTATGTATCTACTCATATATCTATTTTTTCAAAATATTGACGAATAAAATCTCATATTTTACAAATTTTAATAAGATTTTTTTCACATAATTGATTCCCAAATTTTGCAAGAAGCAAATGATGCACAGAGTTTTAGTTTGCATTGCATGAAACAAATGAAAATACTACAATTAAATCGTCGTAATCTATCCTACCTATCGAATAAGAGGATAATTGATGTTATTTTGTAATGAAAAAGCTGAAACAAAATTCGTGGAAGAGATTATCGAAATTTAAAATTGTTTGGTGAGAAGATTAAGAGAGCAAAAACGCTTATTATATAAAGACAAAATATTGTAATCTATAACGATTTGGGTATGTAAATCTAAGTCTATTTGAACTAAAAAAGTTTTACACATTGAAGAACAATTTTAATATATATTAATTTTTATAATCTACTTGATAAATAAAATATATAAGTTTAAAAAGAAATAAAATTTGTATGATATATGT